CCATAACCTCTAAAAGGTAATTAATGTACTTCCTTAGATCCCTCTTTGAAACTCTCCTTCACTGTGTTGTTTATAAGAAAATTCATAGAGTTTAGTCTATTACTATGTTACTATAATATAGTCTATTACTATGTTACTATAATTTAGTCTATTACTATAACTGACCAGACAAACCAGAAGTGCTTCTCTTTTTCTTTATACCATCTTTTTGCATCCATCGTGGTTTGTGTTAGACTCTTTGGAGCAAAGAGTGTCTTGTCTCCATGAACACACAAAGCCAACAGAGGAGACTACGTATGCCTTTGTTATGTGTATATTTCAACACTTAAGTACTTTCATTTCAATTAATGTATTCCATTTGATTCCATTTTGATATCACTCTATTATTAGATATACAGGAAGTTGAACAGATGTGTATCAGCTCAGCCAATATATCAACTTCAGGAAACAAATGAGTCAAGGCAAGAAAAGTCCTTTTTGATCTGCACTACTAGAAGCTTCTGCTCAAAGCAGTGGACACAGGGAGATGGGAAGCTGCTTCCACCACTGAGACTAGCATGGGCAATTCAGATCAAGCCTACCTTTTTCACGTGGGTAACAGCACCCTGTTCACCCTGGCTAGCACAACGTGCACCCCACATGTATGACACAGTCAGAAGGCCATAAAACTATGAAGGCTTTGAAGCCACCACATTAGGTTGAGATTGTAGCCGCCCTTATCTGAAGTTGCTTCTTTAACGTCTTGACAGTCCAGTGCTGACAGGAATACAGAACTGAGGTTTCTCACTGATTTAACTACCATCCCAAAAGTAGATGTTCATAATGATTTTACTCATGAACGCATTTTTCTCAGGCTGAAACAAACTGAAAATCTCAACAAATGTTAGAAAAAGACACGGCACTGGATTATTGTCAGAAAAAACAGTCAGTGGAAGGATAAAAGCATTGCCAGGATGCCAAGTACATTATTTGTAATTCTTTTCATACTTCATTTGTTCTGCGGACAAAGCTGCAGATGAAAGCACCAACAAAGTAAAACCCTGAACACTGCTTTGAGAGAAGGAAAATAACTCATATGACAAACAGACCATACCCAGGAGTATGTCAGCAGACACCATCATGTGACTGCATTTTGCTCACCAGCTTTGGTATGTTGTCAAAGTCACTGACAAGTATTTATCTGTAGAGCAATCCTTTAATTAACTTCTTCTTTTCTTAATATAACTATCTGTGCTTCCATTTAATAGCCTGTTAAACGAAGTTTAACACCACCTCAATATTCAGAATGCATTAGTATCCAAAGAATCTATTATTTTATTTATCTATTCATCTCTGTATTTATCTATAAGTGACTTATTATTAACCACTAATAGTGGTTAATAATAAAAGTTCTAATAATCCTTTCTCATCAAAAGGAGCGTGATCAGCAGGTCGAAGGAGGTGATCCTGCCCCTCTCCTCTGCTCTTGTGAGACCTCACCTGGAGTATTGTGTGCAGTTCTGGTGTCCTCAACATAAAAGGACATGGAACTGTTGGAACAAGTCCAGAGGAGGCCACGAGGATGATCAGAGGACTGGAGCACCTCCAAGACATTTCATTTTCACTATTTGGGGCATTTTCCCTCCTATGTAATATAAAAGAAAGAGTCTTTCCCTTACAGGCTAAGAAAGTTGGGGCTGTTCAGCCTGGAGAAGAGAAGGCTGCGCAGAGACCTCATAGCAGCCTTCCAGTATCTGAAGGGGGCCTATAGGGATGCTGGGGAGGGACTCTTCATTAGGGACTGTAGTGACAGGACAAGGGGCGATGGGTTCAAACTGAAACAGAGAAGTTTATGTTAGATATCAGGAAGAAGTTCTTTCCTGTGAGGGTGGTGAGGCACTGAACAGGTTGCCCAAAGAAATGGTAAATGCTCCATCGCTGGCAGTGCTCTAGGCCAGGTTGAACAGAGCCTTGGGTGGCATGGTCTAGTGTGAGGCATCCCTGCCAATGGAACTGGGTGATCTTGAGGTCCCTTCTAACCCAAACTATTCTGTTATTCTATCAACGCTGTTTGAGTGTTTCTATGCATGGTTTTTTCCTGAAGTAGCTGATATTTTTCAATACATGTTAGGAACTGCACACAAAAGGCCCACTAGCAGTTTATTTATCACATTTGGGTGTTAGCTGGCACAAGACCTCATTGCTGTCTCTGTGTGACTGCAGAGTTTTGAGGCTAAGTAAGGTTGGATCTCATTACACTGGCCAGAAGCAGTGAAGAGTTGGATCTATTTCAATCACCAGGTGCCCATGATTTGCCATCCAAAACAATACAGTTATTCTGGTTCTTGGCATTGCTTTTTTAAGTTATTAACTGTTAGACACATTTCTAGACTTACCCTGTGCTATAAAGAGTTAAGAACTGTTTAGTTTTGCCTGTCCTCTTCTTCATTCTCAAACTGTTAACAAAAGTACCAGACGTCAGAGGAGAGGGGGATGGAAAACAATACACTTTAAAAACCATTTGAAAATGCACAAGCTCGGAACAACCACATAATGCAAACCAGGCAAAACTGCTCTGCAAATATCAATTAATACTGCCTGATACTTTAAAATAAATTCAGCACTTTTTCTTTTTCTGTTCTTTCTTCCAGAAAAGAAAAAATAAATCTGATTATAGGAAAGAGCTCTGCAGTGTAATGTGCATGGATACTCAGAAATCCTTTTCCTATTGCAGAGGCATGGATGGCTCTCTCCTGAAGCAGCACTCACTGCTGCTCTATGATGCATTTTTATAACCTGCAACTGGTACATTTATTAGGTTGGGGTTTTTTTACTCTTTTAAAGGGAGGGAAAAGAAGTTCAAAGTTACCAAACACGATCACCAAGCTGGTGTGAGGTAATGTTTCAGAAATGTTCTGACATTACAGACAATACTAAAAGATGACCATTTCCAGGGACTGTTTCACTGCCCCAGACAGCAATGCAAGCTGCACTATTTCCCCCAGGTGTTGACTGGGTCTTGCCCTCACTTTCTACGTTGGAAGCCCCACTCCTGATAAATCACAATCTGCCTAACTGACATAATTATGGGCGGTATAATAGAAAGCTGATTCAAGAGGAATAAAGCACGTGATCATTCCTGTTGCTCTTTTTTAAAGTCACTGTAGCTTCATTAAACTCCTATTACTGACTATTGTGGAGAGTAAAGAAGTAAGAAGGAAACTGATTTTACAGCTGAGAAATAGCTTCCTTAGAGCTAACAGCCACTTAAACCTCAAATGACGATAAGCTCACAGCAGGCCCAATGCATTTCAACGTGTAGCTGTGTTTTAATTTCCTTAAGCCACGGGGCGTATGTCATGGTTCCAGTAATGTCTGGAGTGAGAGACTCTGTGCTGATAATGATGCAAAGTTTTAGACCCTGACATTCCCACGTGCATGGTATGCCACAGGGATTCAACAGAATTGAGATGATGATGATGCCCCTTTGCTTGTTTAGGGTTTACACCTTCAAAGGCAGTAGTTGTCATTTTTACACTCTCTGAATACCAAGAGTATCTTGAACAGCATCAGCCCCCAAAAACCATTTCCCTTCTTCCTCCTACCTTTGTAATTTGCTTCCAATATCCTCTCACCAACCTAATGACTATTCTAGTTGATCAAGACATGGTGTGTCACCCATTTCCATCTCTTACACACTGAGCTTTTCCCATGGTGATAAATGCTGTTTCCAGAGAGGACTCAAGCATGCTCCCCAGTCTGTTTCCCACCACTTCAATTGTCTACCTGCACAACCACCACTGAAGAACATTCTGTGCTCTTTGCACACTTAAGTTGATTCTGCTACTAAAAGTGTTAAATCAGTATCTGTATCTGAACCTCATTTTTGTGGTTCTTATAACGTTCCAGTGGAGCAACCAAGTCACAGCATAAACAGCAGCACACACAGGATAAGGAAAAGCAAGGAACTCAAGCAGCTTTTCCAGTTCACAAACCTGCTGAAGGGTCATCTCCCTCCAAATTCCATTAATGTACCTCCACCCTGCCCTTCCAACAACAGTGAATGAAAACTGTATTGAACCATAGCCATGAAAGTAAAAAGAAGCAGTTGTTGAAGACCACTCAGAGACAGCCAAATCTGTATTTTGATGGCTAGAAACAGCCCATGGGGTTACATACTTTTGAGCTTAATCATTGACATCTCTGAACAATACCACAACCTTTCCCAACTGTTATTCAGTGGAGAAAGAGAAAATCTCAGGAAAAGGATATTCAGCAATTTGCAGTTAATAGAAAATAGCTGATCAGTTTTTCCTTTCCACCCAAGCACCACCCCAAGCATCTCTAACACAGCTCCCTCAGGGCCTGCACTCGGCCCACAGAGTCAGCAGCTACAAGCCCATGTATTTCTTTCCATTTGATTGCATTGTTTTACAGTATCATTACTGCATTATGTTCTGGTCAGTAATATTTTCCACTATTCCATGCTGGCAAATCACGAAGTACCTACTATACAGAATGTAAAAACCTATGTCCCATCCACTTCAAGACATTTAAGGTTTCTGCTGTTCAATGCGCTCTTCAAACTCACTGACAGATTGTTAAACTAAATCTGCCAGTCTGTTTCTTAACAAAAGCACTTGATACCTTTAAGCTTCCCCAGCTCTTTCACCTTCCTGTATTAATTCTAATTCCCTTTCTTTATGCATTCATCCGACTGGAATGTAAGAGAGGAACAATTATTTGATTGGTATTATTCATGCGCAGAATAACAAATTATCCGCATAGGTGCTATTTTAAACTATACCTGGTCTGGAAAATAGGATGTACTTAACATTGTATTGCTTATTTTAGGTTAGAAGATAAAGCTCTCTTTTGGCTAAGGCTTAATGGAGTTGTGAATTTTATACTTTTTCTCCTTCACAGGGAAAATTTCCATAATGCTTCAGCATCAGATGACACCCATACATTATAAAAGCAAGACAGACAATGTATAGGCTTAGCATTGTTTATAAACTTACCTGCTTTTCCATCCTGGTTGAATCGACAGTACTTTGAGTGTTCAAGCAGCGGGAGACATTGCTCAATAGGCGTCCAGATGTACGTCTCTGGGCACAACAAGTCAGAGGGCCTGTACTGACCCTAGAAAGGAGAGAAATAAAAACAAGGAGAAAAACAGAGTCATCGCATCAGTTGCACAAGAACACTCTGGCTAAACCTTTCCAGATTTTCCTATGAACAAGGAATAGTTTTAATCTAATGTACACCAAATGAGTCAGAAACGGCTTCACTGAAACTGAAATCACAGCCTTACTTCTTCAGTAATTTCAGCACCACCTCAGGAATACAAACTCAGCCCTGGCACTTGATGAAAATGTAAAATTAACATAACACATTTTTATGGTATTCAAGAAGAACTGGAAAGGTTTTGGCTTTGCTGACTGAAACGCTGGTATTTAAGTTATCCTCTAGAGTTCTGCTCAGCTGGTGCCGACACTAAAAAACTCAGCACCTCCAAAAGCAGCTCATCTCGAGTGGTGGCAATTCCAGCAAATAATGGAGACCAAATCAAAAGTCCTAATAGAAGAAATCACTTAAAAGTGAGAAGGATGCTCTTTTTATTGCATTAGTGATGGAGCATTTTGGTCACTGTTACTTAAATAGCAGCATTTTCTTTGTAATTCATGGAGTTTTTCCTGGAAAAGCTTACAGGTAATGAATGATTAGTGAAATGCTACCATTTTCCATTGATTTATTAAAAAGACATTCTTTGCAGGCATTCCCAGAAATTAAGCAGCCATCATTATTTTCCCTTCAGCTGCAGTGAAAAATCACCACCTCAGCAATAACAACCTCCTTGAATCAGATCTTCCTTTGATTTGAAATAAGATTATTCACCAGCCTGTAACTTAAATCAAAACTCTATCTTTGAGCCGTTATTCATTCTCTCCATACCCTCCCAATGTGCAGAGCCATATGCTGGAAATACCAAATCCATTTTTAAACTGAAAATTCCTTACACTTATCAGCTCGAAAGAGACACTAATAGAATGAAAAAGTTTAAGGATCTCAATTATGCAGGTCTTGAAGGAACAGCATTAGAATGGGCATTATAAGAATTCACACTGCAGTTGATGCAATTAAGAGTTCTTCTTGTCAAATACTTTAAATAGGTAATGAAGTTGATCAGCTTGATGTCAAGTTGATTTTTATTCCAACATCTACTGTGAAAAAAGGCAAGGTGGCCTTGAACGAAGCTGACCAAGGTTTGGGAAGGGACATAGATAATCACTGTGGCTACAATCTGGTGATAAGAACTTGATTTTTTAAGTTGCATTCACAAGCTTTGCTGTTCTGGAAGACAAAATCTTATTCAACAATACCCAATTTTGGAGAATCAGAAGAACTTGTCTTTAACGTTTGCAGAGATCCCCAATTCTTTTTGTTCTCTTAATGTTTGAATCTTCACAGGCTTCTGGTGCCTAAAGGAGCTACAAGAAACCTGGAGAGGGGCTTTGGACAAGGGCCTGTAAGGACAGGCCAAGGGGAATGGCTTTAACCTGCCAGAGGGGAGACTGAGATGAGCTCTTAGGCAGAAGCTCTTCCCTGGGAGGGTGCTGAGGCGCTGGCACAGGGTGCCCAGAGAAGCTGTGGCTGCCCCATCCCTGGCAGTGTTCAAGGCCAGGTTGGACACAGGGGCTTGGAGCAAGCTGCTCTAGTGGAAGGTGTCCCTGCCTGTGGCAGGGGTTGGAACTGGATGAACTTTAAGGCCCAAACCACTCTGATTCTATGATATTTACAGTAGAATTAACATCTTTACTATGTATCTCCCACCAACTGTAAATTGTTAAGTAAGAAATACAAAAATTACCTCCATAAGAACAAAATCGTAACTATCCACATGAAAAACCCAACCAAACCCAAACCAGGCTTCATGCTGAGCATTGTCACATACCTGACGTATCATTCCAAAATGCGTCTGTACGACTTTGATTTTCTCATTTGAAAAACATTCCCTGTAACTACTGTTGTTGCTTTTTGAGGTTATTTTTGCTATTTTTAATTAAATGCATTTTTTTTTATTAAATTAAAACAATATCCCTCCCATTCCATGCACAAGCTTAAACCCCCAGGCCTTAGAAAATCCTCTAAACCCAGGGAATGGAAATGACATTATTAAATAAACTGCTTTGAAACATTACGCTATCTAAACAGAAACAGTTGAAAGGTATGTGAAGGTAATGCTCAAAGAACACTTTTAGTCACCATTACTCAAATGAAACAATTTATGGACTTGGGGAGAAAAAATAAGCCTTTTCAGTCAGTCAAAAAGAAAAAAATAGAACATCATTTCTTGTTGATTTTCTCAACTGGCAAAGAAGGCAGAAATAGCCAAGAAAGCATCATTCAGATCTGTTGCTTAAGCACAGCAAGTACAAGGTGGCAATTTAGTCTTACCTAGTTGTATGGATTCACTCACAGCTATGAGTAAAGACTGCTCAACCACGTACAGTTTTCCTACAAGACGCTGCCCCTGCATCTTGAAATGCATCACATTTGTGAGTCCAACACGTGAAGATTATTTCACATGCTGCCCTAGTCTAAATTTCCCCATTACTCCTATAACATCTTATTCTGTCATAAAATGGAACGGGCTGTGTGCAGTTGTGGTGTCCCAAATATAAGAAGGACATGCAGCTGTTGGAGCAAGTCCAGAGGAGACCACGGGGACGATCAGGGGCTGGCACCTCCTGTATGAAGACAGGCTGAGGAAACTGGGGAAGAGAAGGCTGCATGGAGACCTCTGAGCAGCTTTCCAATGTCTGAAGGGGGCCTACAAGGATGCTGGAGAGGGACTCTTCATCAGGGACTGTAGTGATAGGAAAAGGGGTTACGGGTTTAAACCAAAACAGGGGAAGTTTAGGTTAGCTATGAGGAAGAAGTTCTTTACTGTGAGGGTGGTGAGGCACTGGAACAGGTGGCCCAGAGAAGCTGTGAATGCTCCATCCTTGGCAGTGTTCAAGTCCAGGCTGGACAGAGCCTTGGGCAACATGGTCTAATGTGAGGTGTCCCTGCCCATGGCAGGGGGGTTGGAACTGGATGATATTAAGGTCCTTTCCAACCCAAACCATTCTATGATTCTATGTATAAAATTAACTGCACTGCAGGATTACTAGCTTGGTTATAACAAGAAAGAGCTTCTTTAGTACCGGGCAAAAGAGTAATGGCAAGAATTGATTATCCAATCCATCACTGTAGGTTCAGTATTAATTTTGGGCAACCAAACACCCTACTTAGGAGGGAAAGAGGAAGAAATAGTTCTGAGGTGACTTCCTTTAGATGTTTTCCTTCCTTCAAATTTAGAATCTTGTTAATAAACACCCCTTAAGATACATGAGGCTGCGGTGATGACACATAAGGTAATTAGAAGGTAAAAATTAAACAAGCCGTTGATGATCTTCAATATCCTCTCTATCTAAAAGCACTTCCAAACACACTAGAAGTCAGCTATTTCTCCCGTAAAGGCATTTTATTTACACTACTGGTTAAACCCACATCCCATGACTCATTCCAGGAAGGAAGTGGTAGCACATAGACATACTGCAGCATTTCCCACTGAAGAGCATTGGCACTGTGTCTGTATTGATAGAATTAAAAAGGGAATCCGCAGAATTTGTTAAATCAAATGCAATGATTTCCAAGGACTTTTGCCTTTTCTTTTCCCACCCCTAAGTAGTTACTCTCAATTTGCTTCTTTTCTTACAGAAACCTCAATATTAAAATAAACAACTATGAATCCACCTCACTTTATTTTTGCCTCCTCTCTCCTTATTTCTGGAGTGTGAAAACATCTGAACCTGAGATCCCAGCCAGATTCTGCCTCATGTACACGGGAGCACCTTTACTTCATGAAAAATAATCACATTTCATTATTCATTGCAAAACAATTGCATAATATTAAAAATTGCCTCTAAGAGTATTACTTACATTCGTTGTCACTCTTGCTATGGCTGATTTGCAGTATACACCTAACATAAATCCAAACCAGAAAAGGGATCTCCTGAAGGGCACTGCTCCAGAGCTATTTATCACAGTCAAACTTCATCAAATTTGCAAAACTGGTTTTGAAAAGGATTTCTCTTTGGCTCCAGATTCAATTCACCCACATCTCACAAGTAATTCCATCGATGGTAAAATTCCACAACTGAAAACATTGTGCTTTCTTTTATCTCGTACTATAACAGCTCTTGCACAGTAGCACTGTTTATGCTTGTCCAGACCATCTTGGGAATACTTAGACCACAAATCTTTCAACAAATGGTATCATCTTACAGACCATCCCTAAGCACTTATCTTATGTTTCAGTATCTTAAATCCAGTACCACCTGCTGCTGAAATGCACTCTGCCCATGTACAGCTGCACATATTTCTGCCTGTATATTTTGTCAAGAAATATCCAACAAGACATAAAATGGGCTATTTTGAAACGGTTCTGGAAACAGAGAATACATTTTCCTTAAATTTCATTTGTTCTGATGCTGTTTAAAACTTTCATGGATATCCAGAAACACCCTTCTTGAGACAGAATATGAGCACATTTTCAGCTGTTGGAACACCCACTGCAGGTCATACTGGATGTTCACAGGAGAGTCAAATATTGCATCTCTCACAGCCATCTACTCATCAAAGACTTAACAGAACAGTGTAAACACATAGTGTTATCCTGCCACTGCTCTCTTGACCTCCAACACTTTGCAATACAGATCTTTCCACAACAAAATAACTTTAGTAATGATGCATTCTGCCATTCAATAATCCTGAACAACTGCTTTGACTTCCTTCAATCTGCAAATTGTAGTTCATTGCTACCTCTAGTCCAGAAATGCAGTCAACAATCATTGCATTATCACCATGCTGCTCATGATTTTATGCATGATGGTACCTCTACCAGACTGATGGGGCCTAAACTCTGTACTGCATCCTCTTACGTAAGCTATTCTATACCTTTAACTATCCTAGTCAACCTCTCCTTTGAAACAGAGGGAAAGGGCCACAGAGAGGAAACATCCAAACTGCTTTGTTCAAGCAGCAGGAGAGCACAAGGCAAAAGAAAGATATAAAGAAAACAAAAGGGAAAAAAG